CCTTCCTTCCTTCCTTCCTCCCTCCCTCCCTCCCTCCCTCTCTTTATATTTTTTGAGACAGGGTTTCTTTGTGTATCTCTGGCTATTCTGAAACTCTGGCCAGGCTGGCCTTGAACTCAGAGATCAGGCTACCTCTGCCTCCCAAGTGCTGGGATTAAAGGTGTGTGCCATCACAGCTCAGCTAATTGCTCCATCTTTTCATGTGCTTATCTGCCATCCACATAGCCTGCTTGCTAAAGCGCATGCTCAAGTCTTGGCCCACCTTTTCTTTTTCTTTTTGAGACTGGGTCTTGCTAGCTTGAAACTAGCTATAGCCCAGGTTGGCCTTCAGTCTGTGATCCTCCTGCCTCAGTCTTTTCAGGGCTGGGATTACAGGTGTGCACACCACACTTAGGTTTTGGGGTTTTTTTGTTTTGTTTTTTGTCTTTTTTCTTCCCCTTGGGTGTGTGTGTGTGGCGCATGTGCCACCGTGTGCATGCGAAGGTTAGGGGACAACCTGGGGTGCCCGTCCAACACTCCCCACCTTGCCTGAGACAGGCTCTTATTTGCCACCACTGTGTACACAGGGTATGCTGGTCCACGAGCTTCCATGGACTTCGCTGTCTTTATCTTTCATCCTGCCATAGGCACGTCATTTTTACAGGTCCGTGCTACTGCACATTGCTATGCAGGTTCTGGGGATTTGAATTCAGGTCCTCAAGCTCTCCCAGGGCAAGCACTGTTAACCGCAGAGCCATCCCCCACAGGTTCGTCTGTTTTTAGCTGAACTATTTGGCTTGTTTTTTGAGAGTTCTTTATATAGTCTAATATAAGTTTGTTGTCAGACTTCTGCAAATTTTCTCTAAATTAATAAATACTCTTTTAATTCTTTTAACTATGTTTCATAGGATGAAAGTTTAAAGTATTATTATATTGCTATTATTATTTTTTTCTTTTGGCTTTTTGAGACAGGGTTTCTCTGTGCAGTCCTGGCTGTCCTGGAACTCTCTCTGTAGACCAGGCTTAGCCTTGAATTTACAGATCCTCCTGCCTCTGCCTCCCAAGTACTGGGATTAAAGGCCAGTGACACCTTGCCCAGTAAGTTGAGAATTTTGATACAGTCTAATTCACCAAGTTTTTCTCTTACAGGTCATGGTGGTTTGAATAGAAATAGTCCCCAGAGGCGCATATATTTGAATGCTTGGTCATTAGGGAATGGCACTACTTGACAGGGATTAGGAGGAGTGGCCTTGTTGGAGGAAGTTTGTCATTGGGGGTGGGCTTTGGGGTTTCAAATGCTCAATCCAGGCCCAGTGTCTATCTCGCTCTCCCCGCAGCCCACTGATCCAGATGTAGAGTGCTCGGCTCCTTCTCCAGCACCATGTCTGCCTGTGTGCCACCATGCTTCCTGCCATGATGATAAGGGACTGAACTTCTGAACCTGTAAGCCAGCTCCAGTGAAATGTTTTGCTTTTGTTTTTTTAAATAAGATTGCTGTGGTCATGGTGTCTCTTCACAGTACATGAAACATCAGCTAAGATATAGTCATGCTTTTACGCTACCTCAAAAAGAAATCTTGGGGCTGGAGAGATGGCTCAGTGGTTAAGAGCATAGGTTGCTCTTCCAGAGGTCCTGAGTTCAATTCCCAGCAACCACATGGTGGCTCACAACCATCTCTAGTGGGATCTGATGCCCTCTTCTGGCATAAAGTTGCATATGCAGATAGAGCACTCATATACATTAAAAAAAAAAAAATCTCTTTGCCTACTCCAAAGTTCTAGTTTTCTGTTTCCTTCCAAATGGTTTTTAAGATTTTTTCATTGAAATTTATGATGCCTTTTGAGCCAGCTGTTCTGTCATATTGGAGATGTGGGCTGAGAGTCACTGGTTTGCAGACAGAGCACCAATTGCTCCAACACTATTTACTGAAAAGACCATCTTTTCTGTGCAGAGGTGGCGCACACCTTTAATCCCAGCACTTCAGAGGCAGAGGCAGGTAAATCTCTGAGTTCCAGGCCAGGTAGGTCTACAGGACTGCCAGAGTTACATAGAGAAATCCTGTCTTAGACACCCCTCTAAAAAAAAGACTGCCTTTGCTCTATGGAGTAGCATCCCATTTCCCAAAAAGCAGCCACATTTGTGTATATCTATTTTGGGATGCTATCATTTTTTAAATTTTATGTGTGTGTGTGTGTGTGTGTGTGTGTGTGTGTGTGTGTGTGTGTGTGTGTATGCGTGCACAAGTGTGTATGCTGGAGCCTGCAGAGACCAGATCTTGTGGAGCTGGAGTGAGAGGTCACTGTGAACCACCCAACATGGGTGCCGGGAACCGAACTCGAGTCCTCTCTAACAACAGTCAGTGCTCGTAAGTGCTGAGCCATCTCTCTGGCCCCTGAAATTCTATTCTGATCCACTGCTGAGCTGATATTTGAATGTGACAGTGACAATCCACTCTTTGTCTAGTTCCAAAGCCTGAGAGGACATTCTGATGCAGTGGCCAACAGCCTGACTAACTGACCAGAGCTTAGGTTAGACTGGTTGGTGCACCCAGCCTTTTTCTTAGACATAGGGTGGGCCAAGGAAGGACAGTCAACCCAATTTGTCTGTACTTCTCAGTGAGACTCTGTGGTTGTTTCTGTCCAAGCATGCCCTGAACCTTCTATAGATGTCCTGTCTACCAGGGAAGTGGTTACCTTTCTTCCATTTGTTTCATGCTGGACATCACTTGATTGGTTTTTCCTTCAAAGGAGGCAATGGCTTCATTCTTCTGCTGTAAAGTGTTCTCTGCATTCTAGGAAAGCAAGGAGAGGGGTCCATAAGCTGCCCAGGCCTCCTCCACATCTCTGCATTACAAACCAGCCTCACTGTTCATACGGACTTGACAACACTCTCAAGAGTATGCCATAATTGCTGTTCTTCCCTAGAGTCCTGGAAGACAAACCAGGTCAAGGCTCCAGCTCTGGCAGAAGAGCAAAGTGGCAGGTACTGGGGTCTGCTTGCTGCAGTCAGTGTGGACTCTGCTCCCGAGGATCCTCTTGGCCTGGGCACACGGGCCAGTTCATGTGCCCCTTCAAGGGCTCTCAAGGGAGGCATTGTCAGCTTCGATTTCCTATTGAGAGGGAGGCTCAGAGAGAAGAGCCAGAGGCAGGGCTGTTCCCATAGCCCTGTCTGTGAGACTCACTCTGTCCCAATTTTAAATCAGAACAGGTATCCAGGCCCAGCAAGCAGGAGGGAGCACTCTGTAGTCACAAGAGACACACTGTAAGATAAAGGCTACAGAGATACACCGTATGATAAAAGGCTACAGAGAGGCTGCTGCAGAAGGAAGCCGGGATGAGTTCCTAAGGAACACAGACTGCACTCTCTGACTGAAGCTTACACTCAGGACAAACTGATGAAACAGAACAGCATGCTAAGTGCTGTTCAACTTAAAGAAAAAGTAACGGAAACCATGCAATGCTCAGACCTGGAAGACCACAGCACCATGATACTCACTGCAGTGAAATGAAACTGTATCACAACTTACACATAAAGAAAAGAAGCTGAAACATGACATACCCTAGTTCTAAGAGGCATCTGATTCTGAGACACTGCAATGGGGAGATATGCTTCTCTGGTGATAAAATACTTTTGCCAAGACTTGAGGGACACAAAACAGTTTGTTTTCTTTTTGGCTGGTGCTGAAGATTAGACAAGCATTTTGTCCCTGAGCTGTGTATACCCTCAGGTTCCGTGTGTGTGTGTGTGTGTGTGTGTGTGTGTGTGTGTGTCTGTGTGTGTGTCTGTGTGTGTGTCTGTGTCTGTGCATGTGCATGTATGTTAGACAAGTATTCTGTCCCTGAGCTGTCTGTACCCCTCTGGTACCCTTTCTCTTCTTTTCTTTTCTCTCTTTCTCTCTCTCTCTCTCTCTCTCTCTCTCTCTCTCTCTCTCTCTCTCTCTCAAGTTTTATTTATTTATCATGAATACGGTATTCTGTCTACATATATGCCTGCAGGCCAGAAGAGGCACCAGATCTCATTACAGATGGTTGTGAGCCACCATGTGGTTGCTGGGAATTGAACTCGGGACCTCTGGAAGAGCAGCTAGTGCTCCTAACCTCTGAGCCATCTCTCCAGCCCCTCTTTCTCTCTCTCTCACTCTTTCTCTCCATCTCTCTCACTCTGTTTGAGACAGTCTTACGATGTGGCCTAAGCTGGCCTTACCAGTCTGTGATCCCCTTGTCCCATTCTCAGGAATGCTGGGATTAAGTGATGGATCACAGGTACGCACCCGCTTTCTTGTGCTTTTTTTTTTATTTTTGGCAATGGTGGGGATGAAACCCAGGGCCTCCTGCATACCAGGCAAGTGCTCTATTCCTCAGCTCTCTTGTGCCAATTTCCTCTGCATGGTGAGACTCTTGTGTAGCTTGATCTGCTTGGGGGGCCCCCTGGCGGTAGGATCAGAATTCATCCCTGGTGCATGAATGGGACACCTCGTGCAGCCTTGAGGCACGGGGAAGGGCTTGGACTTGCCTCTGATGTGCCTCCCCATGGGAAGCCTTGCCTTCTTGTGGGGGGAAGTGGGTTGGGAGGGGGAGGTTGGGAGGGGTGGGAGGAGGGAAGAGGGAGATCTTTGATTAGTGTGTAAAATGAATGAAAAATTTTCTTAATAAAATAAATTAAAATTCTATGAAAGCAGGTGTGGTGGTACATGCCTTTAACCCTAAGACTTGGGAGGCAGAAAAGCAGCCAGCCTGGCCAAGTTCCAGGGCAATTAGGGCTACAAAGAGAGACCCTGTCTCAAAAACAAACAAATCCCAACAAAAACGACAACAATGAAACTCCTAAATTAAAAAAAAAAAAAAATTCTATGAACTAAGAGAAAGTGAATGAGCTACAGAGGAAATGCAGAGAAGGTGGAGCATAATCAAGGCGAGGGTGACTGCTTTATTACTAACACTTCTGACACCAGTGTGTGGGTGGCCCCCATGTCTGAACCTTGATGCCCCCTGGGTATTCTGCAGTTCAATTTAAGTCTTGCTAGCACCCTGCCGAGCCAGTGCAGATGCCACAGGTGAAGTGCACGCCACCAGACTGCCCACTCTCCTCACCCCAGCGGAAGTCCTGGGTTACCTCCAGCCGGTTTCTCTGTCGGCACTGTTTAGTCAGTGGAGAGGTGGAAATGTGGACAGACAAGATGGTCGACAGGAGTGCTGCTCTCCAAGCAGAGGCTGCACAGAAGGATTTGTCTGACCCTGTCAGAGCTGATGTGACAAGATGGGAGGCTGGTGGTCCTCGTCAGCTGTGCAAAGCAGTCAGTAAAGTAACTCAGTCACCCAAACTAGGGAGACAGATAGTGCCAACACTGCCACCTCCCCAGGAGAGGTAGCTGGGGAGAATCGGAATGCCAGTGGTCCTTACTGCTTGAGCAAGGTTCTGGAAGAGGAGAGTCTGGGCCAAAGCCTGCTAGTTTGCAGAGATGCACAGCAAGAGTCCAGAGGAAGGGCCTGGAGGAGCCAACTGCTCTGGACCGTTTAGCATGTAAGACTAAACACTAGGCTGGGCATGGTGGCACATACCTGTAATCCCAGCACTTGGAAGGCAGAGGCAAGCCTGGTCTACATAGTGAGTTCCAGGACAGCCACGTATACATAGTGAGACCCTGTCTCAAAAAACAACAGAATAAAACAAAAGACTAAACACTGGGCCATAAAGGCCCTGTCAATCAGCTCATGCAGGCTGGAGCTATGGATCAGAGGTAGAGAGCACTTGCCTAGCATGCAGGTAGCCCCATTTAGTGAAAATCAGACCCAAGTCTCTTCATGTAAGTCTAGGATTTTGGATGATCTATCATTAATAAAACAGAGAGACAGGACACACACTCAGACTCAGACCCTGACACAGCCATGCAAAGCGGTGAGCAAGAGGCAGAAGTGAATTCACTGAACCTGGGTCCCTGAAAAACACATGGGAGAGAAATAAAGAGACCAGAGGTGTGACAGAGGTGACAGACTGCCAACAGCCAAGAATCTGCTATGAAAAAGACTTATGACTCTGTTTCCTACTGCAGATGCCAGGCTGCAAGCTGACACCAGCAAGAGGCTGGCCACCAAAGCTGTTCATCTTCTAGAACGACTCCCTCAGAATGTGGCCAAGGATGGTGGTGGCCCTTGGGTGACATAAAAGTCCTTGTAGAAGGCAGAAACAAAGCCCACTGTTGGGGGCTGTGGTCTTTGCAGTTCCTACTCAGACAGTGTGTATTTCTTTTCCAAGTGGTACTCTTCATTTTTCTACCCCAGCATCACAGGCTGTGATGGGCCACTGTGAGACGGACAGTTGGCTTCTAGCTCATAGGTCACATGGACTGCTGGAGAATTACTGCTCATCAGCCAGGGGCTGTGGCCTTTGAGGAGGATGCAAGGTCTGGATGCAACTTCCCAGCAGAAATCTTGAAGCTAACTATAGACAGACAATTATGTGCCCACCAACAAATATTCTCTTTTATATGGCTGCAGCCCAGAAAAGATGGAGTTCCCAGGGCCCTGCAGCTACGATGATCAGCCCTTCCCCATGGAGCTGACTGGAGGCAATGTGTACAACCTCCTTCTCACTTTGAGACAAGAAGTGTTTGGCTGGCTCTAGATGGTTCCTTTTCCTCTTCCTGCTCAGAGGCAGGACTAGTGCCCTGCAAAGCTGCGGCCCCTCTGCCTGGGTCTCCGAGTGACCACCAAGAGCAAGCCTGCTGCAAGGCTTATGGTGTTACAGATACACTTCCATGCTTCAAAGGCCTTCTAGTAGATTATTAGAGAAGTTTCCCTAACACACACTATTATATCTCTATATGGGCCAAAACCTGAAAAAAAAAATGTAAAAACTTAAAACAGATGGTTTGACAAGAAGTCCTGGCACCCACACTGGGAAGCTCACATGTGCCGTAGGAATCTGACGTGTCTGGCCTCCTCAGGTACTTGCACACACGTGTGTATACATTCACAAAGCCATAAGTGTACACACATAAATAAAACTAAACATTAAAAATAAATCTATGCAGCAGGTATGGCAGTGCACACCTCCAATCCCAGCATTCAGAAGGCGCAGACAGGCGGAGCTCTGAGTTTGAGGTTAGCCTGGTCTATGTAGTGAGTTCCAGGCCAACCAGAGCTGAGAACTCCGTCTCAAGCAAAAAACGCAAACGCTGCAATAACCCGGGGCTGAGGGTCGGGCTTGCCGCATCCTCCGCAGGAGGGGGTACAGCACCGGAAGGCAGCACCGGAGGGCGGTGGGGCAGACATGAGGGCAGCCCTCACCTGGACTTTGTGAAACATCTGTAAGTTGATTGCTTTGACTTCCTCCAGCTGCTGGCGGAGGGCGACGAGCGTGTCCTGCTTCTCATGGGTGTCCTTCTCCAGTAGCTTCATGGCGATCTCCATCTCCGTCTTCATTCCGATCTGTAACTCCAGCTCCTTTTCTAGTTCCTTCAAAGACACGGACGAGGAGAGCACTGAGGCAGCATCCTATTGAACTGACACAGGAGTCACTGCACAGGGCAGGCTTGCAGGATGGAGAAAGGTCTGGTGGGATTCCTTACAGCATCCTCTCCTCCCCACTTCCGCTTCCTTCCTGACTTCTTCCCTCTGACCCTCCCACCTTCCCTCTTCCTTCTCCCCTCTCTTCTTCCCTCCTCTTAGTAACCTAGGCTGGCCTTTAACTTACAATCCTCCTGCCTCAGCTCCCGAGTTACTGGGAGTACAGTACCACCACACTGGCTCTGTATCAAGTTAACAGAACACTGACTTGGCAACATGAGCCCAGGTTCTGAAGCCAGGTCGCCCCCAAACGGAAAACAGAACCTCGAGTCTGCAGGAACGCCAGGCTTGTCTCCGAGGAGACCTGACAGAGTAAGACTACAGGTTCTGAGTCCTTCGGACTTTACCACGGCACAGGGGCCACCATTCTGAGATGGGTACCTCAGGGCACAGTGCCCCACATTCATTCCAGGAAGCCAGGATGAGAAAGCACAGGAGAACTAGGTTTGGAGAGGAACCATGGCTACCAGTGCATAGACTGAAGTGAATCACAGAGCCAGTGACGGAGGGGACAGACTGGGCTCATAACCACCTAGAAAAGACTCACACCACGACAACAAACACAGATGACGATGATAGAGAACTGCAGTGTAAACATGAGCTAAGGAGGACAATTCCTGGCTTTCCGTGCGTCCAGCAGGTGTAAGCACGTGTAGAGTGGAGCGCAGCCTGCAGACTCTTCCTAAGGGCGCCGGGTCCCACTCACCAGGCGGACTTTCTTCTCCTCCTTCAGCTGCTTCCACACATCACTGTACATTTCGTCCAGGCCCTGCCGGGTCTGCTTGTAAGTCTCCAGCTCAACTTTGGTGTCCTGTTTTGTTATCTGATCACACAAGAAACCCAAGAATGACTCACTCTTGGAAAGTGAACTAGCCACAATACATTTCAAAATGTCACAACCCAAACAACAACAACAACAGGATAATTTCCTATTTTTCCCCCCAGACAGGGTTTTCTTGTGTATGTTTGGCTGTCCTGGAACTCACTCTGTAACCAGGATGGCCTTGAACTCACAAGATCCTCCTGCCTCTGTCTCCTGGGTGGGCACCATCATCACCTGGCTTAATTTTCTACCTTTTAAACATGATGAATCTTGAGCCAGGTGTGTATACACATGTATACATACAATATATGTGAATATGAATGATGAGTCTTAAAGATAAAACAACCTGAAGATGAAGGATGACAGCAGGTCAATAGATCTGTGTATGGCTGTGTAACAGGATCTCACTATGTACCTCGGACAGGACTTGAACTTGTGATCCTCCTGCTTCTGCCTCCTGAGTGCTGGGATCACAGGTGTGTGGATAACCCACTAGATTTCTATAACAAGGTAGACTGTGTAATGTTTTAGTTAATTTTCTTTCCTGGTGGGAAAGACTCTTATTTGATCCACCACACAGTATTTGTTTGCCATCTTTACCTAGCGCCGGGGCCTGTGGTGACTCAGCCCTGATCTCTACCCCTGGGCCACCAGGTGAGGCAGAGCATCTGCCAGGAGCATCTGCTGTGAAGGAAGAACAAGCGCTAAGGGAGTTTGGGAGGAGGAGGAGGGCGTGTCCAGCCATGGAAGCAGGGACCCATGACAGCCCACTCCACACTGAGCCCAAGTTAAACCAACACCTGGAACCCGGAGTGCAAAGGCTGGGAGTTTCGGGAGTCTTAGTGATGCAGATGGCCTGTGAGTGACGCGGGTGGGGACAGCAGCAAGAGGTACTGATGTCAAACAAGACACCTTTGTACATTCTGGGACTGGGACAGAGTGAGCGCACAGCTGGCCTTGCTATCTGCAGGCTCAGCACCAGTGGCCTCGCCGAGCGTGGAGTGGGAATAGTGAAGGAAACCCTCTGCACAGAGCAGACTCAGACTTTCTTCCCTCGACAAGCCAGGGCGGCCACTGTTTCCACAGGTCACTTGAAAGCATCCTGAAGAACCTGTGTGGGCTATCTGTGACTGTGATGCCATTTTATACAAGAGACTCAGTACTCAGGGGGATTCTGAAGCTTTTCCTCCATGATGCAGTTTGCGACTAACAATGGATGTGTGTGTGTGTGTGTGTGTGTGTGTGTGTGTGTGTGTGTGTGTATGTGTGTGTGAACACTTCCCAGCCATCAGGTCACCCCTCACCTCCACACTCTTTTCGCTTCTTTCCCGAATTAATTCATTCTGTTCTCTCAGCTGCTGCTGCTCCTCTTGCAGGGAACAAATTCGGTCTGTTGCAGCTGAAAGCTGATTAAGAAAGATTTCTTACATGTTTTAACACCAAAATTAATTTTGCTGTCCAAATTAAGAGCTGACATTTACTTAGATCAGGCAATGCATCTTATTGTTTGATATTTTACTTCCTTGCTTTGCATAGGAAATGCATGGTTCGAACTTACAAAGACACCTATGAAGTAAACCCTCTCTCGCATACTCCCAGCTTTCTGTACCATCTCCAATTTCTTCCCTCACATTGCAAAATCAGTTATTTGATGCTTCATGCGAGTGATAATTTATGTATACACACACACACACACACACACACACACACACACACACACACACACACACTCACAAACACATGTGAGCATGCATGGAAAAAAAATTAGAGTTCAGATATACACTATTACAGGAGCACCAAACAGAAATCTGTTATTCAAACATTTAGTTTGTTATTCAAACAAAGTGTTTTTTTTCCTTCCCAAGACAAGATTTCTCTGTGTAGCTCTGGCTGTCCTGGAACTGGCTCTGTAGACCAGGCTGTCCTTAAACTTACAGAGATCTACCTGACTCTGCCTCCTGATTAAAGGCATGTGCCACCACTGCCCAGCCGTTAGGATAGCTTTTAATAACTTGAGAACATACTTATACCAATAGAGGGAAAGTTTATATGGTATGCTCTCAGCTGTAATTAAAAAAAGAAATCAGTAGGCCAAAAATTTGTAAAATAAAGGCTATTTATGCTAATGGCAGGCAAAGGGATGATGGACTGGTTTGTTTTGATTCATCTTTTTTTCAGGGGTGTTTTTGTTTTTTGAGACAGGGTCTCACTGTGTGCTATTGGCTGTCCTCGAACTCACAGAGACCTGCCTGCCTCTGCCTCCGAGTGCTGGGATTGATACTGTATGTTGCCACACCCAGCCCATTTGCTGCTGTGTGTGTGTGTTTGTGCATGTACGCTTGCCTGTGCATGCACATGTGAATACCACAAGTTGACAGTGGGGTCCTCTCCACTGCTCCACCTTTTTTTTCTTCTTCTTTTTTTTTTTGAGGCAGGGTCTGTCAATGAACCTCGAGTGCACTGTTTTGGCTAGGCTTGCTGGCTCAGCAAGCCCCTGGATCTCTGCTTCCCAGCATGGTGGTTACAGACGCATGCTGTCCTGCCTGGCTTTGATTCAGTGCTGGAGATACCGACTCAGGTCCTCATGCTTGCGGAGCAAGTATTTTACTACTGAGCCATCTCCCTGATTCCCATTTTTAGTTTCTTGATAAACAGAAATATGTTTTATTGTCAAGGGAAATTAAAGATTTTGGAGGAAAGACTCGAACTTCAATCATCAGAAACAGGCCCCAGAGGAATCCTCCTCCTGAAATGTGTCATCTTGGCTTCAGGGAAGGAAAGTTGGATTTGTTCAGGAATGTGTCTAGCAAGCGGCTATCACAGGAGGTGAAGGGGGTGGGACAAGGCAGAAGCCAGACCCCTCCTTATTCCAGCTCCAGGCTCCAGCTTGCAGAAGAGGAGGGAGACCGGAAGAGCAAGAAGGGAGTCATGTGTCCACTTTTCCTCAGTGGAGGGATCTTGAGGCACTGAACTGTCCTCTAAAATCCTTCAGAGTCCTCCACAGATCCCGGGCTGACCTTTCTAAATAACAGCAGTGCCTAAGGAAGACCTCCAAGGCTCTGAAGGAGTTAGTTGTCAAAAGGGAGAAGCAGGCCACGGCCATCAGCTCCTTCCCATCCCCTGATCCTCCTGAGGGATTCTCTATAGGACATCTTGTTTGTTTGTTTTTTGAGACAGAGTTTCTCTGTGTAACCTTGGCTGTCCTGGAACTTGCCCTGTAGACCAGGCTGGCCTCGGACTTAGAGATTCGCCTGCTTCTGCTTCCCAAATGCTGGGGTTAAAGGTGCGCGCCACCACTGCCCAGCTCTAAAGGACATTTTCCCTCCTGTTACATGCTGAAGAAAACACCCAGCCACTGAGTTTCAGGACTACACTCAGCCCTCTGGTTGAAGCATGCCACCTGGCTGGACAGCAGCGCTTTCTTCTAAAGTTAACCAAGTCCCCAGCCCCTCCCCCAGTGCTGCCTCATGGGTATTTATACCACAGCAAACTGACTTAACCTCTACAACAAAATTATAAAATCGATCTATCATCCTACCTGGAGGCATTAAGACAAGGCTTAAAGACCCGCCGGCTGCCTCCACAGAAGCTCCAAGGCCTGCCTCCCAAGCAAGGTATGTGTGAGTGCCCAGGGCTAACTGCAGTGGCTTCTCCCATGACATCCCCTGGGAATACTATCTCTGTATCTCCTTCAACTCACGCAATCCGGAGCCCCTCCCCTGGGAGCCCCTGAGGAGAGCAGTCAGCCGGACAGTGAGCCTCAGCAGGTCCTTCACTTACAGACCCTCCTGGCCCCTGCACCCTGCCTCTGTGCTGTGGGGTGTCCCTTTCTAAGCCCCTTCTCAAAGCTCTCCTCCTTCCTACTACCTGTGGACAGCCTCAAGGCTGAGCAACCCCCTCCTGCTAACAGGAGACAAGATGTGTCCACCAGGGAGACAGCCGGGCAGCGGGCAGCAAGCCTTCTTCCTCGGCCTCAGCCCTCCTTCTTCCTGTCCTCTCATTCTCTCTCTTCCTAGTGAGAAAGCAGAGAAAGACCATGCTGTGGGGAGACTGGATCTGTGCTCGCTACAGGCCACAACCGAAGGGTGGGCTGGGGTGCCTCTCGGGCAGTCCATGCTCTCGGGGGCAGCAGGGAAGCATGTGACCCTACAGCAAAGGTGGGTAGAAAAGAAAACTACCCTCTCGTGTCCACCCGATGGTGCTTTAACCAGAGGTGAAAAAACAGGCTGCTGGGAACTGCCTCAGGACCAGCTTCCGTGTCTCCCGGGAACCCTTCACCGTGGAATGTAAACGCTCTGTCTCCTGTGCAGCCAGCCTACTCCACCTGAGGCTGGCCCCTCTTCCTGGGTCGTAGCACGACGCTCTGGTCGGATGTACCAACCATGCCATCTCTTTCTCGCTGTGCTTTTCCTTATACTACGTACTGAACCTAGGGCCTTGTCTATACTAGACAACATTCCACCACGGAGTCCTCTTTACTTTCTGAGACAGGGTCTCCTTAAGTTGTTCAGGCTGGTTCTGAACTCACTCTCTAGCCCAGGCAGGCTTTGAACTTGCAATCCTCCTGATTAGCTGGGATGACAGGCCTCCTGCCACCAGGCTGACATGTACCACTTCTCTTAACCTTGGGTCATGCTGTTTTGTTTAAGCAAAAGTTACAAACCTCTTCTTGAAGCTTTGAGTTCGTCTTTTCCAAGCCATCTATCTTGGTTTGAAGATCCCCAACTGTGCAGCTGTAGAGAATAAACACACTGGGTCAGCCTAAACTTCAGGCCGTGGGCTGTTTTCCTAAGTGGTGAAGGAGAAGGCAGAGTCCTGACTTTCTGCATGAAAGGGAAGGCGCAGGGCTGCTCACAGCTCTGAAGTAGGAACCCAGTGTGTGTGGATACTGAAATAACAACGACCAAAACTACTGTCACCCGGGCAGTGGTGGCACACACCTTTAATCCCAGCACTCGGGAGGCAGAGGCAGATGGATCTCTGTGAGTTCAAGGCCAGCCTGGTCTACAGAGTGAGTTCCAGGATAGCCAGGACTATACAGAGAAACCCTGTTTGTTTGTTTGTTTGTTTGTTTAAGATTTATTTACTTTATGTATTTCTACGGGCCGCAGGAATATGAAATAGAGATTCAGCTGTATATGATAAAGCTATACCTAGAAGGATCAAGGAATCCTTCTGGAGAAGCCAAAAATCAAGGGATATTTGGTGATAGCTGGACCACCCCCCCCCCATAGACCCTGTCAATGTATGAATGCTCTATCTGCATGTATGCCTTTATGCCAGAAGAAGGCATCAGATCCCACTAGAGATGGTTGTGAGCACCACGTGGTTGCTGGGAATTGAACCCAGGTCCTCTGGAAGAACAGCCAGTGCTCTTAACCTCTGAGCCGTCTCTCCAGCCCCTTGGTTGTTTGGTTTTTTAAATATTTCTTTTATGTAAATGTGCTTTGCCTGAATGTGTGCCTGTTAGCTAAGGAGGCCAGTAGAGGGTATCAGAGCTCCTGGTACTGGAGTTACAGATGGTTGTGATCCACCAGCGGGTGCTGAGGATGGAACCCAGGGCCTTGGCAAGAGCACCAAGTGCTCTTAACCACTGGGCCGCTGCTTCAGCCACTTCTACAACATTTTAAGTTACTCTTATACTGTGAAAAATGTAAAGAACCCGCCAACAGGACAACAGCAGGTTTGATGAGAGCAACAAGCCTTTTGACTGAGAGCAGGAACGTAGCTTCTGCTCTGCATGCCATGCCGTCTTCGCTGTGAGCATTTGAAATGCATCAACTCACTTAATTCTCCCCGTAATTGGAAGCAGTCGGTCATTCTGTTAATCTACTTTGCAGATCATCAAACATAAGCATTTATGTTAAAGAACTTAAATACATATATGAATGGCTCCTTCTCTCACCCGACTTGTGTGTGTGTGTGTGTGTGTGTGTGTGTGTGTGTGTGTGTGTATGTGTGTGTGAGATGGGGATGGAACCTCGTTTTGTTTTTTCTTTTGGGCATCTCTATTTTAAACTGGGCATAGTGACTCACACCTTTAATCTCAGCACTGGAGAGGCAGAGGCTGGTGGATCTTTGTGTGTTCTAGGCTCCAGGCCAACCAGGACTACATATTCAGACCCTACACACACACACACACACACACACACACACACACACACACACACTCTGTGCACATGTGTGCAGGTACCAATGGAGGTCAGAGCTGCCAGCTCCCTCTGGAATTGGAGTTGTAGGCAGTGGAGAGCTGCCTGAGGAGGGTACTGGAACAGAACTCTGAGAGCAATATGACTTCCTAACTGCTGAGCTCTCTCTCTAGCCCTTCCTTCCATTTTCATAGTATTTGTTTCTTTCCCCAAGGCTGTGGGGTAGGGGCAGAGGCTGCATGCTCTGCGTATTTACCTCTCGATGCTGTATAACAGCACAAACAAAGCCAAAGAGCCCCCCAAAGCTGTTCATCAGGAAGGCGTCCTCTTCCAGGCTGGACACATGACTGTGGCTTGAGTGATTACAACTGGTCTCTGGGTTTGGACAAAATGTAGCTATGACAGTTAAAACGGTGGGTCCCCTGCAAAGCTCTCCGGTATGGAAACAGAGTAAAGCTGGCACTGAGGAGGAGCGAGCCTTACCTTAAGTGCCGATTAAGTTCTTCCACGTAGTTTTTCTGATCGAGGACATCGGTAATTCTCTCATGCCTTGTGAAAAGAGTCCACAAAGATAACAACTTCTTAAGTTCATGTCAGACCACTTCTAACAGTCCCCCACCCTTCTGAAGACTTTGCAGAAACCAAAAGCAGTCAGAGCTACCTATGAGCAAACAGAGCAGGGCCGGCCTGACCCAGCAGCAAGGCCTGAGGACAGGCCACCCTGACAGCAGGTCTGCAGATAGACTGCCTGGGCTTCTGCAGGGCACAGATAGCCAGGGGTGTTTGTGCATGGTGAACACGCCTGCCTGCCACACGCAATGCCTCCAGAAGTGGCAGAGGACTCAGTCTCACTTTCCTGAAAGAAGCGGATATACTCTGAAGGAAACAGACTTTGCAGAGCACGGGAGAGCAACCTACAGGCCAGGGAAGTTCGAGTCAAAAAGAAGTCCTCACCATTTGGCAGTCAAGCTTTCCCTCTGACTGACTGATTCCTTTTTTAAAAAATTCCAGTCATTTAAAAACGTATGTGTTTTCCTGTTTGTCAGTATATGCAGCATATGCAAGTACCCACGGGAGCTAGAAGAGAGTGTCAGATCTCCCGCGGCTGGAGTTACAAGCAGTTGTGAGCCACCTGATGTGGGTTGTGTAGAAGAACAGCAAGCGTTCTTAACCATGGAGCCATCTCTCCAGCCCCTTCTTTCTTTAAATCACATCTGTGTGTTTGTGTGTTTGTGTGTGTGCACATGTGCACGTGTAGGTCGGAGGACAACTTGTCAGTTCACTCAGCCTCTGGGTCCCAGGGATTGAACCCCGGTTGTCAGGGTTGGCAGCAGGCACCTTTACCCACTGAACCACCTCACTGCTTCCTGTGACCTCTTTAAACATACGTTACAAACGTAGTTCACACACACTGACATATGTAGTCACATACATTTACACATGTAGTCCACATAAAGTTACATGTGTAGTTCACCGTTTCATGCCACAGGTGCTGGTTTGTTTTTCAGCTGCTATTTTTTCCCTTCTTTTACATGTTCTTCCCTTTACACAGCTCTCCCAGGGAACCCACAGTAATGGCTTGAGTGTCCTTCTCTGGGCATATAACCATCACTCTAGCTAACATAAATGCAGTATACACAGCATGCATATACACTGAACTTCTTGGCTTATAGAAAAGGAATACATATATTCCTTGGCATCCTACTTTTCCCACCCGTCATCTTTTGGGAAAAATCTCAAAGTCCACTCTGCAAGCAGCTCTGATTCTCTCTTCACATCTGCATAACACATAATGGTGTGTCCACTACAGATGGCCCATGATTCTTTTAACTCCTTCAATAAAATAAAACTGAAGGACTAATGAAATGGTCCAGCGGGTAAAGCACTTGCTGTGTAAGCCTGATGACCTAAGGGCAGACAGAGAGAACCAACTCTGTTGTCCTCTGACCTACACCTGTGCTGTGGCATATGCACACACGCACACACGCATGCGTTTGGAAGGAAGTGACCACAGCAGCTTCCTATGGGGAGAGGAGTGAGACTAGGCTGGAATGGGCAGAGGAGGTGGTATGAAAAGGAACTTTCACATGCATGCTCTATTCCGAGCTCAGCTCCTGAAACAGTGAGGATGCCATGAGATTCACCTCTTGTAACTAAACTAACTCAACAAAGCTAAAATTGCAGAGCCAGACCAAGCCACCGGCCGGCTGGCTGGTGAGGAGCTACAAGCAACACAGTACTCACTCTCTGCCGCTGTCGAGATCCTGCACATCCTTCAGATAGAGGGAAAAGTCAATCACTCCAACCTGAGAGAATAAAGGCCACAGGCTTAGGTAAGACATGGCAGCCCTCATTCCCACAGACCTTGTAAGCCCTGAAATTCAGCACGGTCATTCTTCTACTGTACATGCATCCAAAGGAGGATTTTTTTTTTCTAGTTTTAATGCCCACTGCAACCAAATACAGCTTTTTATTTAAAAAGAAAGACATACAGTCCAATCTTGCAAGTGCCAAATAAAATTACAACATCATTTTTTTTTTTTGTGATATATATTTTTTATTTTACAATACCATTCAGTTCTA